TCATTTCTCAGACAGATCAGCTGATGAGTCCAAATTCACTCAAACAAAATAATTTGTTGGCTGAACGTAATAAAAGTATGGAAACCATTTCCATCAAATTAAAATGTGTTCTTTTAGCATCAAGGAATTTTGTTAAGTCAACATAAAATAATTAGGATGGGTCAGCTGAATGTGTTTGTGTTATTGTTTTTTATTCATTATGGTTCAGGCCTATCTTATTTTAAAATGTTAATTAATGTATTCTACTAGGTGTGGACTAACGTGACTTACTCAAGTTGTTTTAACTTCTTTACTCTGGTTGCGTCCGACTCCTTTTAGTCGTGTTGGTCCAACTTATTTTAACGTGGTAAAAATGCATGCCAACAAAAGCCATCATTTAAAGCTAAACTCAAATAACCTTTTCTTTAAACCTTTCAAACAATGTATACTTTGAAAGAAATAACTTAAACAGAAGTTTAATAAAATGTTTACAGCCTGGTTGGAGTCAAAGATAAAATATCACAGACCCAACGTGATCATGTTGCAACAGATCTGTATTTGCCAAGTTATAAACAAAGAAGCTTAACAGGAAAATACAACACAGAGTTTCCTCCTTTAAAGTGACAGCAGATTGGACATTTGTGCTATATGTAAAATAAAACCAAGACAATTTAAAGATTCAGTAGATCACAGAGTACTCCATAAAAAAGAAAGATGTCTTTTGTAATTGGTCCAGATAATTTTACAGACAACGCTTGAACATATCACACTAGTGGGAACAAAGGGGAGACCTCATCTAGTCCATCTGATCAAGCCTGATGTGATGAGAAAAAAGATCATACCTTGTATTGCATCATCAGTTTTTCTGGTTCTTCATTCACGTAGACAGAAAAACCTCTAAGGATGTAAATAAGGAAGAACAGAAACAGCATTAGGAGCATTATCTTAACCAGCCATCACAGTGAGTGTCACACATCTGATACATCTTCTAACTAGCTTCACAATGAGTGATCATTAAAGCCCTCTCTCATACACACTTACACAATAAAAGGTTATAAAAAACAAAAATATTAAAAGGAAGAGAGAAATCTTTCCATCAGATGGAGTTCACTGAAAGAAGGATGGATGTTCAGGTTTTGCTGCGTTCCTCAAAGAGCAGGTTTTTTAACAAGAGACCAGGTGTGTCTCAAACAAGAAACATTAATAATAGTTGAACTTGAGCCTTCTCTTGGTGGTTAATATATTTACTTTGACCGTTACCTCAAACAAAACCACAAAAATGATGCCTTAACTATCCCTTAAATCTAAGAGAAGGCTCTCTCCATCAGGTAAAAATCTCTTCTTTGCCCCTCCCCCCGTCATGAGCCTTTCCCCCCCTGATTCTCTGTAAGTACGGATGAAAGTCGTTTACAAGGACAGGATTTATCAAACAGGGTTCATCCAAAGAGATACCTTTCATCAGAGTTCCTGTTCATCTACCTTATAGGGACCATGTTCCTGTTTACCTACCTTACACGGACAATGTTCCTGTTTATCTACCTTACAGGGACCATGTTCCTGTTTATTAACCTTACAGGGACCATGTTCCTGTTTACTAATCTTACAGGGACCATGTTCCTGTTTACTAACCTTACAGGGACCATGTTCCTGTTTACTAACCTTACAGGGACCATGTTCCTGTTAATCTACCTTACAGGGACCATGTTCTTATTTCCTGCTCGAGAATAATGGGACAGGTAAACAACATAATTCTATTCAGATTTTTTTTAAAGGTGTTTATCCCAAGAAAAGGATGTCTCCCTCTGCTTTTGCTCTACTCCCATTATGAGCCGGGTTTTCCATGTTTTTCTAGTTCCTTTCTCCATCAAGGATCTTCTCAGACAGGGTTTATGTAAGTTTATGTCCCCAAAAATCATCTGTACATCTTGGAGGACTCTCCACATGTCCCTATCTCTTTTCTTCTAGACAAATGTGACCCCAAAATGCACCAACCATTTCCCAACATTATGTGGACCATGGCTCATTACTCCCATTATCCTTTCTTGGGTCTTCTCAGGAGGAGTTTATTTCCCCAGAGAAAGCGCTCTCCCTTGTGGGCAGACTATCTGCACATCCCCATCTACCTGGTATTTAACTTTTTTAAATATTTTTTTTTGTTTATCAAGCATCTCATGTTGACCTTTGTTTGCATACCAACCTAACATGGAGAGTTTATCTAGATTTGTTTCCCAGGGGAAGGATCTTTCCCTTGGGGATGGCCCTCATCTTGCCTACCTCTTTAATACCATACATGTTTTCTCTGTGCTTTTACACCACAGGTCACACCTACACATTCAAACACTGATGGTAGAGGCTGCTGTGTAAAGAGTCCATCAGAATTAACCACTCCATTCATACACATGCATACACTGTTGACGAAGCAGAGGGAGCAACTTGGGGTTAAGTGTCTTGCCCGAGAACACATCGGACATGTGGCTGCAGGAGCTGGGGATCGAACCCCAGACCTTCAGTTTGAGACAACCGACTCTACCAACTGATCCACTATATTGTACAATATTGACTGATTTCAGGAATAAAATCTTTATCCTTACAAATAATGGAAAGCTGAAACTTTGAGATACAAACAGTAGTGACGCAATGTGTTGCTGCTGCCACTAGAGGGCAGCAGCTTTAATCTTTACAGACAGGAGTACAGTCATGTTCACTGTATGAGCTGATAATATAGGAAACATCATAATAGTTTATCATACAAAGATCATATGTATGACTTGTGGTTTTGTCCTGAAAAAAGGTTTTTCATGACAGAAAAAATGTGTATAATGTTGCCAGTTTGTTAGTTTGATCAAACTTTGTTGATTTTGATCTTTAAAGTGTCTGTAAGTACTTGAAATATCTCCATGAATGAAATGTATTATCATTATTTGTTATTTAACAAGCCAATGAATTAGTTAATGACCCAACAAATGAATATATACATTTTAGCTGCCGACACATTATCACTCAGGTGCGTCTCCTTTACTGAATAAATATTCACAAACTCTGAGAACGTTGCCTCAAGGTGGGTCGACACTGTTGGTCTTCATTTCATGTGAAGGGAAGGTTTTTTATGTAACAATACAAAAGACAATAAAGTACAGAGTGTGAGAACAGTTCATCAGTGTGTGCAGCAGCAGATATGAATCTGTGGTTATTAGGGTTTAGAAAAACAGTTTACAGCAAATCAACACTTCCTCCCCTGCAGCAGGCAGGCTGTGTGGGTTTCCTGCTCTGCTGCTTCTTCTCTGTTAGCGAAGGGTTTTCAGTTTAATCACACAGCGACAGTTACGACCATCGACTCTGGTTAAAGCGTCATTCCAGGAACTTAAGTTTGATTTTAATGCTCAGAACTCTCAATATCAGCTTTCTGCCTAACTCTGTTTTACTATTTAACCTCAATGCAGGGAAAAAATTAATAATATATACTCGTATAAAAAGTTAGACAAGGACAAGAAACTATGAAGCTATAATATACAAGCTTATTTAAAGCTACAAAGTCAAATTACTCATGACCAAAGACGTTGATCGTGTTTTTACATATTTATTGTGAAGCTAAATGAAATCCTTAAAAACACAGACTTTTATTTAAAAAGAAAAAGAAACACTTACAGCTCCTTTCATACACCAAAGACACATCTTTTACTCTTTTATTTAATTTAGCTATATATTTATGCTGGTATGTAACAGTAGTTCTACACTTCTTGACAGTAGCAGTACTGCTGTTTCTGTGAGTTTTATAAACAATAATGCACCAATAACACCAAGACAAATTCCTTCTATATACGATACAATCTGATAGACGTTTGTGTTATATATGTAACATTAAGTGGGGTACACACAACAAGATAATCAGGGCGATTTTGGGCCCGATTCCCCCCTTCTGACTAAATTCAATAAAAGCCTGATTATCTGGATGTTAAGCCCGGTGATGTAGTTGATAATCTGCTTGAATCATTTTCATTTTTGTTAAATATGTGTGATCTACAGGAGTAAGAAGATAAACCACAAGATTGAGGTATTAGACTTCTTAGACAACATTTTGGACTGCTGATAAAAGCTGGAAATGGAATAAAATGATAAAGGTAGCAGTACATTCATTTATGTACAAAAAACACAGTGTCATCAGCATAGAGCTTTACTTTTTCACAAACAAGCTTCTTTCATAAAAACTACAAAAACACTACGGCACATAACGTCAGAAGACAATCAGTCAGCACATGTTCAGTGGATGGACGGTTTGTTGTTTCTGAAGATCCTCAGCAGAGAGAGTCCACAGCAGTACACCAGACTCTTCAGTATCAGCACCGTGTACAGCAGCGTCAGCAGCTTCACCTTGCACTGAGACTGAAAGGACACTGACAGACAAAAAGACATGGCTAAAGCTTTACAAATATAGAGCGTCATTTCATCTAAGGATAATTGACCACATGAAAAAAATATTCCATCAGGCCCCACTACTTCATTGTTTGAAATCTTATATTTCAAAATAACAGAATCAATTTCTTGTTTCCGTACAGTTGAACATGTCATTAAACGCAACGCAGCTCACCTCCTTCTCCTGCGTCCTGTAAGGCTGGTTTGGCTGTAGGTGGCTGGGCTGCTGAGCTAGAAGCTGGATCTGTTTGGCACAAGGCAGGAGCAGGAAAAAAGATTGCTTTAAAAAAAATGTTTGTACGAAGGCCTTTTTTTTAAAAGATTGAGTAGAAACTAATGTCCTGCTTTAATTGATTTAATAAAGTCTTATTCATAATTTATTTTCTCACCAATGTTTAATCCTGTGTATTTTGTGAAGCACTTAAATATAAAAATATAAAAATTAAAAACATTACATATATATATATATAAAATATATAAAATTCAATGTTTTATTTTTCATTGTCTTCATTCTGTAAAGCATTTTGTAACCTTGTTTAGATACGTGCGATATAAATAAAGTTATTATTATGATGACAGTGGTTGATTTTATCAACACTACATGTAGTTCAACATGTCCATCGTATCCTCCTGCTCAATTGTAATGCATTGTCCTGAATATTTCTTGCTGTATTTACACGTTGTCTCACCTGACTTCTTCAGAAAACTCTCTCGGAGGCTAGCAGGAGATAATCTGTGTTGGTGAAAAAAACCCTAGCCGTGTGCGCTCACCAAAGCAGCTCAACCCAAAAATTTCAGCCTGCACCTAAGACAGATTGGTCCTCACTTTTCTCTTCCAAACAGCTCCCCTTGGAGGCATCGAAATACAAACTAAATCGGCCCTAAAACTGAACCCTGTGGTACACCAGAGGTAATGTAAGTAGAGGGAAAAGAGTAATAATGTATGTTGACTGAGTTGGTTTGTTCTTAAAGGTAAGAGTAAACAGATTTTGATCTTACTGTCAGTCGGCTGCAGAGTTGGCAGGTCTGTCGGCTCTCTCTCTGGAGGACTGGAGGTCGTAGGAACTGGGACCTCTGTCAAACAGAAGGAGTTAAAAATAAACATCAGTCCTCTGCTCCATCGTCTCCACATGAAGCTGAATCACTGCTGAATGCAAACACCAACCCTTCATTACCTGTTCCTGTTTGAGCATTCACTGTGCCCCCCTCATGCTGCACTGAGCAGAGGTATTTATAGGTGCTGTAATCTCTCTGAGGGATCGTCAAGATGGAGGCGCTGCACCCCGACTCCCTCAGCTCCTGCCGCTTCGCCTTAGCAGGGTGCGCATCCTGCAGAGGACCGCTCCCTTTCTGTTTTTTCCACGAGATCTGGACCAGAGGAGGAAACATGGCTGAGGCCACACACAGTAGAGAGCTCTTCTCCTCCAGCTGGGCTCTCGATGCTGCCAGGTACACGCTCACCACGGGCTCCACCACCTGCTTATCTTTGAAAGAGCAACAACACACACACAATTATTCTAAAATTCTATAACTTCCACTTTGAACTTCCAACCCTATTTAATAAAAAATTGGGACCTAGTGTAAAATGTAAATTAAAAAAAAATGTGATGATTTTCAAAACACTAAAACCCTTGGTTCAATAGAAAATACCTCAAAGATAACTGATACATTTTATTGTTTTTGGAAAATGGATACACCCATTTTTATCTTGACGCCAAAGTAGCATGTTTTAAAATAGCGGTCAAAAGAACATCCCAGAGGATCAAGAACCTGTTCATAAACAGGTCAGATATGTTGAGACAGTGTTATCATCTGAGATAAAATTGTATTCAGTAGAACAAAGTTGGTTGGTCTTCTCTGGCACAGAGACGTGATAAACACATGTATGTCTTTAAATCACTTATTGGACGTACACCATCTTATAAAACATCTCTGCTGAACTGGACCAAACTCACTCTACTGATCGTCTTTTGCTTCAAGTCCCGCGGGTCTTTTATTAACTTGGAAAAATCTGCATTTAGCTTTTCTGCTCCAAAAACGTGGAATAATTCACAACACACTCTAAAGATGGAAACTTGTGTTTCTCTTGGACAAATATAGACAATGATCTCAAACCACTTTACCACACTGCGATTGTTTCTACTGAGAATCATTCCGACCCGTCTTTGTTGTTTTATTTGTGCTCTTTTTTTTGTATCACTACATCATTATAAATGAGGGAAGCCTCAATGATCTGATGATGAAATTATATTTTCCCAATCACGCTAATGAAATAATCAAATTAAATTAAATGTGTCTTTCTAGAAAATAAATTGTGCATAACAGCAAATATAAAATTGTCATCACCGTTGTGTTTACCACCCGGCATCTATTATTTAACACACTGTTTAGAATCTGTAGATATATGTGTGAGTAAAGATATAAACATGTGTGTCTATTAAACATACCGGTAATTTTACGTGCTGTGTAGGACATTAAACAGCCTAAGTGCTGTAATATTACATGTGATATATTTAAGGGTCTTATTTCGAAACCAGGTTCATTATTTAATCACATAAAAAGCATATGCTCCATTAAATAAAAAGCTATTTTAACAAGATACATTTTTGTACTTCTTCATAATTGAATCCGTATTTCATGTTTGTTTGTGTTTTTGTCAAAAGCTGCTGCTGACTCACAGAGAGAATCCAAAACATATTTGTAATAATACAGTTACAGACCTTTCTTTAGAAACTCCTTTATCACACGGAGAAAGAAATAATGACTTCAGATGTGACATTTAAACTTCTTTCAGGTACTATGAGTTCTCTATAAAACATTAAAAAACACAACAGCATATAAGCCCTAAAGCAGCAGACTTTAATTTAAAAACAATGGATTAATAGATGTTTAATCTTACCTGTTACAAACAGTTTAGTTCCAGAGCCAAAGATGTACCACACAGTGAAATAGACTGATACAAAAACCCCGTCTGCTGCTGAATACAAGTTCCTGTATCAAGTTATGAGCCAGGATCATATTTCAGCTCCCTCGTGTGTTTCACATCAACATGTTTTTTTTTTATACTCCAGCAGTGTAATGTCTGTCATTCTACTACTTTAGTCCACATGAACTAATGGTGCATTCATATGGTGTCGGACACATCGGGAAAATAAGTTTCTGAGTTGGAAAAAGAACATGAACGCTTGCTCAAGTCGAGCAACAACTCGGAAACTCGGGAAAGAATTAAGAGCCCGACATGACGTCAGAATTGTCATCACATGAGGGGCAAAAAATGTTTAGTTAATGTTAAGATACTTTTTATTTATTCACTTATTGTTCATCAATGTTGTAATCGTATATAACTAGTAATGGAGACATTCCTCACATCGTCTCTGTAGCATCCACAAAGTTTGTTGTTGTTACAACATTCAAATCTGAAAGCACGTTAACACACTGAAGTCAGGTATAAGCTAACAAAACAAAGGAACCCCTGGAGGCGACCATGTTGCTCGTTCAACTTGCTGCCAACTCGCAACTGAAATGTTGTTTACGTTGTTGTTACGTCATACCCTGTTTCAAGATCTGAGTTCCGAGGTAAATAGAACCCACCATAAACCTGGATAAAACTGAGATAGGTATGAGTGGAAACCTCCAGTGTTGAAAAATGAAACCAATGTGGAAGTGCTAAATCCTGCAGTTTGTCCATTGTCCACTAGAGGCTGGCTCCAGGAACACTGGAAGTCACATACAGACCACAGCCAAAAATAAGTTTTTACAGCAAAAACAAACACGTTTACAGCCTGGTACAAAAACCAAATATGTCTGATTAGTTATTGTCATCACATTCACTGTACTTGAATTCTTATTATAAAGGCTCAGTTTTGATTTTATGAACGATACGTGTTATCCATATTTAAGTGCGTAGCTGGCCTGATCGACAGGCGGGCATGATGTAACGGTTTGTCAAGAGTCTCAAAACCCGTCTCAGCTGTCAGTCTGTCGTTATGTTGACTGAAAGATATGGTGAGTCAGCATTTCCAGCATGGCGGCTGCTGCCGATGAGCCTCCGGAGTCCCCTGCAAGAACAAATAGCAGACGTCACTCAGGCTTCTTCCATTAATATTTACAGTCAATGGATAGTGTAGACAGTTGTACTGTTATACTGTTGTGACCCTCAAGTGTTGCCATACTCAGTGTAAGTCTCGTGAGACTTGGTAAGAATAAACAGGACTTAGAATATTATTGTTATGATGGCCTGAGTACGTTCGTCTGGCACGCTAACGTTCATGTGAATAAAAGTTACGTTGGGAACTCATTATGACTCAGTGTCAATAAAACTACAGATAGGAACCGGTGTTACAGTTTAAAGAGTTAGCAGAATCCGTGTGTGGTTGTCATAGTTACAACAGATGTTGAAGACAGAAAGTCTCCTTATCGATGCCTTCTTGTTTAGTTTTTCTTCATAGATATATCTAATGAGTGTTTTTGATGTTTGTATCTTTGCTCTGCTCAATTCAGCGTCATATTGCCTCTATCACTCTCTCTACCCCTCTCTCTGCTAAACCACAAACTTTTTGCGTACAGGTTACCCCTAGCTTCAGTCCGGCTGAGGGGTCTGGAGGAAAGCTAATGACACAGTTGACCTGACCGATTGGAGAACTAGGTGGGACGTTCTGGAGCAGTGCTTAACTGGTTTAAGTCTTACTTTAAAAGACTGGGACTACTTTGTGAACACAAAAATTACATGTGGAGTTCCCCAAGGCTCCATCCTGGGGCCTCTTCTGTTTAACATGTACATGCTCCTCTTGTCAACAGGTAGCCATGACCCCTAAATCCTTAGATTTTTGAAGCAAACTAACAAAAACTGATTCGTGAAATCAAGAGGGATATAGCTAGATGGGAAATTCTACCTCTGACTCTGATATGGAGAATATAAACTGTGAGAATGAAAATCCTACCATTTGTGTTCCAGTTGTTGCCTATAAGGGTTCCTAGCTAAATATTAAAAACACTGGACAAAATCATGTAAAAATGTCTGTGGCAAAATAAAAAAGCTAGAATTAAGTATACTTTCCTTCTTTGCTCGAAGGAGAAAGGAGGGTTACATTTACCAAACTTATTAAAGTACCACTGGGCAGCACAACTAAGGGCTATTATTATGTGGATAACCAGGCCCGGAGTGGCTAATCGGGAGAACCGGGACAATTCCCGGTAGGCCGGGCTGCCTCGGTACCGCGACAGTTTATAGATCAGACAGACTGTAGTCTTTGCGCAAGTAGCGTTTCACTATAGACCAGTTTCTGAAAGTGTGGCGCGCGTGTGCGCCTGAAAAACATGTAGAGCGCAGTGTTTCCCACTTGGGCCGGCTGTCAAGGTATATTAGCTTCCGCAAAACCCCTTTTCTCAAAAGCCTCTCTCCCTCATTTTGTCAAAAACGTGCATTAAAAGATAAAGGTAGGTTCGCGCACGTAAGAGGGAGAGAGAGAGCTTTACGGGTGACCGAAGAGTCGGGAACGTGCCATTACGCATAGGCCTTCAAGTGGACGGACAAGAAACAAAAAGTTAAATGCTAACACTTTATAATAACCATCATCTATAAAGGGTAAATAAGGGTAAATAGATAGAAAATTAACCATTAGTTAATAGTTATTTACTGTTAACAAACAATGAAAGGATAGTTAATAATCATTTCACTTCCTAATCATTTGTAATGCTATAATTTATTTTATGTTAACAGTTTATTGATGCACACATTATAACATTTCATACAATTTATGAAGTGTTTATTAATGATGACCAAATGATTTATAAACCTTTAAGAGATGGTTTATAAAACATCTATAAACATTATAGAGACACATGGACCAGATATTTGTTGATGGTTTGTAAATATTTTATAAAGCGTCTATTAACATTATTTGGATGGTTATTATAAAGTTGGAACTGAAGATTATAATCCCTTACTGATACTTTGTAAAGCATCTATAAATATTTTAGATAGATAATTAATATTATGTCAATGATTAATAATTGGTTTGTTAACCATCTAAAAGCATTATCCACGCCATGTTTGTGCGCCCCATTAAATGTTACATAGATGACCTATAGAAAATATTTTTTTTGCACACCAATATCAGTATTGAAAACACTATATTTTACAAACCTGCTCAGAGATCCCCTGATTGTGATAGAGTGGAACGAATGACTGGGTAAAAAACAACATAATGTTTCTTTAGGACGCCTGCTTGATGATATTTCTAAGTGTAGCCCAGGTTTAACTATGACACTTTAATTTTAAAAACATTCCTTTATTTTAAAAATAACATATATGTAGTGGAGGTGTAACTCAAGATATAAAGTTATTGAAAGATGGTTAGAATTCCTTTTATGCCTAAACCTGTCTGATCAAGTCACTACTAAGAGTTAAATTTCTGTTGTTTTCTTTGAGTGATTTGATGAGTTTGCAAGTGAGCCAATCGGTGAACTCTATAAGTCAGCGAGCCGACCAATTGGCTAACAGCTAGCCTTCGCTCAGGCTCTGCCTTCTTATTCCCGCGCTCGCTCTTTTGCCGCTGTAACGTGAGAGCTGCATTTACCCACTTGGTGAGACGAGAAATCATATTTAATGAAATTGAACTAATTCTAAATGTATATTGCCCATACTGAGGAGAGCTGTTCCTGAATCCACCGTCATCGCTGAGCTAAGGCAGTGAATTCAACTTCAGTGGTGAGTTCTTTATGTAGCCTGTTTGGCCGAAGTCGTTAGCATTTATGCTAATTATTGCTAATGGGTGTGTCCATGTTAAAGTGCTAACTGTTCAAAGCTAATGTGAGATTGTGGTATTAAAATGCTAATATGTTCATCAGCCATAATTAAGTTAGCGTGATTCAGTCTATTGATGTGGAGAAGATAATGATTTTGTCTGTTGGTTATAAAAGGGAAATGTTACTTTTCCATTCTGTTACTGATTATGGTGTTTTGTTCAATGAATGATGACATATCTGTTAAATTTAATTGTGTTTTATATGTTTATAGTGATTAAAGGAGCCTATTTTTAGTTCATTCTCTCCACTGTTACCAGTGCGGTGAGTTATATTTAAGCATGTAAACGTCTTTATGCCTCAGAGTTACATTACTATAGGTAAAGTTCTGATCCAAGATAGCGGCGCCCTGCTCGGCTGCGGCTGCGGCTGCAGTGGCTCGTGATAGCAACAGGAATATAATGGCAAATAACCCAGTCAGTTCTGATAATTTCACAGTAAACCTGCAGCGTAGTTACTCTAAAGTCATATACGACCGCCAGGCAATTTTAGTTTTAGGTAATTCAAACAGTTTCAGTCCGGTAGATGCGACTACTCTGGACCTTCTACGTAGCCTCGGAATACTACGCCGGCTACATCCAGCGGCCTGTGAAGCAGCGGAGCCTCGTACCAGCGGTGTCCGCCAGCGGAGGAGACAGAAGCGGTGTGACCGGAAGCAAAAACGGGGATGCCGAGCGGGGCTAACAACCAAGCTAAAAGCTAACCCGCACAGAACGCCGCTTCCTTCCATCATGCTTTCTAATGTCCGCTCCCTGGAGAACAAACTGGACTACCTGAAGCTGGATTTAACTGCAAAACGGGAGATGAGAGACTGCTGCGCCATATTTCTCACAGAAACGTGGCTGAAACCATCCGTTCCAGATGAGGCAGTTAGCATAGAGGGGCTAACATTATTTCAGTCGGATAGGAGCAGCTCTCTCAGTGGTAAATCCTGAGGCGGCGGTGTTTGCATATACACCAACAACAACTGGTGCAACAACGGTGAGAAAGTCTCAAGTCACTGCTCTCCTGATGTAGAACTACTGACTATAAAATGCAGGCCTTTTTATTTACCCCGGGAATTCACTGTTATGATCTTCACAGCAGTGTACATTCCTCCCAGTGCAAACACCAGAGAAGCCCTGAATGTTTTATACCGCTCCATCAGTGAACTGCAATCTACACATCCAGAGGGAGTTTTCATTGTGGCAGG